TTGCCCTTTAAACTTAAGGAGAGAAAAACAAGTAGCAAGAGAGGTGAGAACGGACAATCACTCAATTAGTCTGCCCTTCGGTGGGTCCCTGCTCAGATCTCAAGCTGGTTTTAGCTCATCTTGTGCCATTACAGAGAGAACATATCTGAAGCATATCAGACTGGTCCCACCTGTATGGGCAGTCCATATTGCTAGAGATGTCTCTTTATTGAGATTCCTTATATATCTGCCTATTTACCTCTGTATCTCTCTACCTGTCTATTTGCACATGCTCAGAGGGACAATATGCTGGATGCGCCCATATTTTTTTTAAATAAAAAACGGAATCTCTAAAGTTCTTGAAGCTCTTGCAAATTGAGCGAGAAGCAACTGCATCACCACGAAGCGGTTCTACCAGTGAGAAGGCTCTTTTTCTGGCTTCCATGAAGTCTAATTAGTTCAGCCCCTCAGCAGAAATTCCAGTTATAATATCAGAGGAATAAAACTGCTGAATAAACTGATAACATACAGACCTGTGTGAACATTTTGAGTGTAATATTTAGCCATGTTGAAATTAAAATCTTTACATTCAGGGTTACTTAATGCATAATATATTAATTTTAACCCATATGGGTAGGACAAGCAATATATTCCTTAGAATAATAACAGAAGGAGAATTGGCTTTGTAGGCTTGGGTGAAATAACATTTAACTTTCACTGTAGATCTAAAAAGAATTAGGCCATGACATACCATAGGTTCGTGCAGGGATATACTGTGTGCCCAAACACTCCTTAGTATAGGCTAACATTTCCTCCATGTCCACTGTTCAGATCTTTAAGGGAGTTTTTGTGTGAGTTTGGCATAATGTGTTATATTTTTGTGAAAGAAAAAAAAAAATCACTAACACCTGGCTATCACTAGGGCAAAAAATATATACAAAATAGGAAAGTATTAGCGCTATTTGAGTGAAGTGTCTTACAATATATATATATATATATTTATATATATATATATATAATCTGAAAAGCTGCTAATCACCGTGAAAATCTTTTAAATAGAAGTGGTAGAAAATAGTAAGGAATACCGGTGCAGCGCTTATGTGTGAAACTGAATATGGAAAAACATTTTACACAATTTTTTCTTTCTACATTTGTCAATAATTTCTTGTTAACCTTTAGGTAAAACAGAAAGAAATACACAGCATAGTGCAGATTGTATATAAAATGGTAAATACATTTATAAACAAATGCCAAATGGCAACTCACAATTTTCTGAGCTATTAAATCTAGCTCAGAAAATTGTGAGTTGCCATTTGGCATTTGTTTATAAATTTATTTACCATTTTATATACAATCTGCACTATGCTGTGTATTTCTTTCTGTTTTACCTAAAGGTTAACAAGAAATTATTGACAAACGTAGAAAGGGCAAAAAATATAGTTTGGCCCTCATTTTTTTTACTCAAGTATATTTATGTACAGATGAAATGCTGGTGGCACACTAAGGATCACAAAACATGGCCAAGAGGCAGGGGTGCTACATTTATATTTAGAAACAATTGTTGGCATTCATAGAACTATGAAGAATATTTAATTTGTTTCTTTTTCTTTCTGCACAGATCTTAACCCCAGTTTCAAAATACCGGGATAACAGCTCACACTCCCAGACTGTAAAGGAAAAAGTCAGAAGTGCATTCGGGAAATAACCGTGCGGCCTTTGTGTTATTAAAATAAATAATAAATGCCAAACATACATTAGGTTCTGCTCTCTCTTTGCTTCCTTGTTTCATATATTAGCCCAAAAAATAACTGTTTTATTTTAATCTTGTCTCCAAACACATTCTTTCATTTGAAGCTTTGCTTATTTATATAAGACACATTTTTTTATGTATTTTAATTGCTGTTTAATTTTTGTTTGAAATCTAATTATGAGTATCTCTTTGTGCAATTAACTAAAATGCAAATATGCCTTTCCTTGGAAATATCTTTTCAAGTCGAATAAGGTCATACTTAATGACGTGGCAGGTAGAAACTCAGAATTATTAGAGAATTGTATGAAAATGTGGAATAGTGCAATAGAAATAGTATTATAATAATAACAGTGACAATAAATTTTTTTGTTGCTATAACTGCCATATGGGGGTATATATATTCCTACCAAACCCTAACTTTATAGGACATCATCCTGGATTGGCCTGACTCATGGCACATGGCAGATCATTAGCACAATCTGTCCTATCAGCTAATACAAGGCATTCATACCATTGCAAACTCACGATATTCAACAATTTCATCACCGATTACCAGATTAGTAACCCATTCACAATCGATACTGTGCTGATGTTCGCTACCTTTTGCCACCTCAACCGAAAACTATTACACAAATTATATCTCACAGGCATACGACATAATTTGTCTTTAAACATTGGCTTAAAAATAGAGTACAAAGAGTTGTCATTAATGGTAAATTTTCAAAATGGACAGAGGTGGCAAGTGGTGTCCCTCAGGGTACTGTTCTGGGACCCCTTCTATTTAATATGTTTATAAATGATCTTGAAAAAAGCATTGAGTGTCATGTTTCAGTGTTTGCAGATGACACAAAACTCTGTAAAGTGATACAATGTGAGCGAGATATTACTTTGCTGCAGAGGTATTTAGATAGACTGGGGGACTGGGCACTCAAATGGCAGATGAAATCTAATGTTGAAAAATGCAAAGTTATGCACTTCGGCGTAAAGAATGCACAAGCAACATATACCCTAATGGAAGCGAATTAGGGATAAGAACACATGAAATGGACTTGGGAATTGTTATAGACAACAAACTATGTCAATCAGCAGTGGCTAAGGCCAGTAAGGTATTGTCATGCATGAAAAAGGGCATTCATTCTCGAGATGAGAATATTATTTTGCCTCTTTATAAATTACGAGTAAGACCACATATTGAATATGCTGTGCAATTTCTAAAGAAGGATATTATGGCACTAGAAAAAGTGCAGAGGCGGGCTACAAAATTAATAAAAGGAATGGAACATATCAGCTATGAAGAAAGGTTAACAAATTTAAACCTCTTTAATTTAGAAAAACATCGCCTGAGAGGAGATATGATAACATTATACAAATATATTCGGGGCCAATACAAACCATTGTGTGGAAATCTATTCACAAACCACACTTTAACTCCTTAACGACGAGTGATGAATGAGGTCCGTCACTCAGGGGATTGCCATAACGACAAGTGACGGACCTTGTTAAAATTAACCCCGGACCGCCGCTATCGCGGCGATCGCGGTGTTAATGATGTTCCGGTCTGCCTCTGTATTAGAGGCAGACCGGGAGCACCCGATAGTGCTGCCCCAGCACATGTGCTCGCTATGACAGCCTGTTAACTTCCACCCACCCCAGCTGGCTAAATATATATTTTAAAAATATTTAATAAAAGAATTAACCCCTTCCCTGTCAATTGATCACTGTGGTCAGTGATCAATTGGCAGGGAAGGGGTTAATTTTTTTATTAAATATTTTAAAAATATATATTTAGCTGGGGTGGGTGGAAGTTAGTGGGTAATTGGGGGATTTGGTGTTAGGCTAACTAGGGGTTAACATTAAAAAAAGTTTTAAAATAAACTTTAAAAAGTTAAAAATTAAGCTAAAAAAGTTTTAATAACGTTTAAGTAAAAAAATAACCCCCCCCCTTTACCCAGTCCAAATAAATATTAACCCCTTCCCTGCCAGTCGATCACTGCCTACAGTGATCAAAATACAGATCCCAGTATTATACTGTGATCTAATTTTTTTTAAGCCCTGAGGATTAACTTTATTTTTTAACCCTCAGGGGTTCAATTTATTTATTTAATTAATTTAAATATTTTATAATTATATATTTTGCTAGCTGGGTGGGTGGAGTTATGGGAAAATGGGGGAATTTACTGTTAGTGCTGCTTACTGCTAGTTAGGGGTTAACGGTAAAAAAAAAAAAAGCTTAATAAAATGTTAAATCTGTAAAAAAAAAGTTTTAAGAAAGTTTAGAAAAATTAATAAGCAAAACAAAAGTTTAAAAACTAGTTTTTAAAAGTAAAAAAAAGTTTCAAAAAGTAAAAAAATTACATTTAAAAATGCTCATTACCACTACACCTGGAACAAACTAGAGAAAAAATGATCCCACGCTAAGGTTCAAAATATGCCTTTTGAATTACCCCAGGGTGTATTGTTTAATAAATAGTATGTGTTTGTGGGGAAGTTTCAATAACCAACCGTCTAAACTACTCCAAATTGGAACATGGGCACAGCGTAAAACTTCAAAGTTAGAAAAAAAACTGAATGGCTGCATCTCAAATGCGCCCCTTCAACATCCACATATACCTGGCAAAGATACATACGGTGGTATTGCTGTACTCAGACATCAAAGCTGAGCAACATATGAAGTATTCAAGGATATAATCTTTCAATGTAGGGTAATAACTGCTTGATCCAAGGATAAATCTGACTGCCATTCTGGGGTCAAGAAGGAATTTTTTTCCTAGCTTGTTGCAAAATTGTGCTTCAAACTGGGTTTTTTTGCCTTCTTTTGGATCAACAGCAAAAAACAAATGTGAGGTAGGCTGAACTTGATGGACGCAAGTCTCTTTTCAGCTATGTAACTATGTAACTAAGTATTATACAGTCGTAGCACACATAAGGTTTGCAAAATATAGTGTGCAAACTCACTTTGTGTGTCAAAAAGGCAGAAAAAAACCCACTTATTACCACTACACTTGGTACAAGCTAGCAGAAAAATTGAAGATATTAGCTTTAGTGTACTAATAATCTTAATTTTAGTAATGACAGGAGGCAAATATTTGCACATCTTTCTTTACTGAAAACTCCAGCAGCATAGAAACATAACAACCAATCAGAAAAAGGTTATGATGCCCATAAAAGGCCCTGTCTATGACATCACTTCCTCTTTCTTTGAAGCGAAACAATAAATAACAACAAGAGACATAATCATATTACGTCAACAGTTCAACAACATATTAGAATATCCAACTCCATTAGTTCCGCGATGCAGAGGTATGGAAGGTGAATCTTTGTCTCGATGAGAAGACGTTCAAGCTGCAAGAAAAAGAAAAAGGTGAAAGGTATCTGGCATGATAACTTGTCCGCATACAATAAGCATTAAGCATCTGATATACCAACGAACATTAGAATGTGAAACCTTTCATTATATATTTATTCTAACGCAATGATATTTAAGAATCTATAAACACAACATAATGCAAGGTTCATGTCTAAGATTCAGCCAATACAAGACCCACAAGATACAGGTCTAAGTAGCAAACATACAAACCATACGTACTTACCTTCCTGAACATAAAGGACATATTCTGTTCAACACGAGAAACATGGGAGGGATCCTATAGGGTGGGAAATATTCGCCTCCTGTCATTACTAAAATTAAGATTATTAGTACACTAAAGCTAATATAATCTTCAATTTTACCACATGACAGGAGGCTTCATATTTGCATTTTTAAAGCTTTGAATTGACCAATGTGAAGGAAACATGAGATGTTTGCCGAAAATAGAACGTTCTAAACGTACTCTCTCGCGCTCAGTCCGCGCAGCGTATAATGTCGGCTAGGGAAGCGTCGGCCGAAAAGGTTTGTGAGGCCGCCGCTCCCCTGACCGAGTGGGCTCCGAAACAAGGTTCGACGCTAAAGACAAAACCAGCGGACCCATCTGGCCAGTGTTGCGGTAGACACCGGTCCATGAGGGTTCACGTAAGAAGTCAGAAGGTGATCCGTCGAATGAGTTCGAAGGGGGTAGAGATATTGGTGTACCCCATTAGCGTTCTGACCACGCATAGTGTGGCGTCTGACACAAAGCATGGGTATGACACTGAAGACGAATCAGACTTAGTTTGTCTCGACATGGTAAAGGTAACCCCGTCTGGTGTGAGAGAGAAACCATCCATATCGCAAGCCCTAACGTCCGCCACCGTCTAAATGAGGCGAGGCATAATAAGAGGGCTAGTTTGGCTGAAAGTTGCTTCAGTGACAAACAAGGATTGTCAGGCCATTCCCTAAGGAATCTCAGCACCACATCCACCTGCCAGAGGCGTGAATATTTGGGTGCAGGGATCTCGACAATTCGGCACCCCGCAGTAGTCAACAAGCCAGTGTATCTTGACCCACTGGTCTGCCCTGTACCGGAACGTGCGCCGCCGATATGGCGGATCTGATCACGCTGAGGGATCGATATGACTGACCCAACGAGCCCAGGTGTGACAGATAGTTGAGGAGCAGTGGGACAGGTGCGGTAAAGGGATCGGAATCCCTTTCCACACACCAATCACTCCAGGCCGACCAGGCAGAAATATAGCCTTTCCTGGTGCCAGGAGCCTATGAGTCCCATAGGAGGTCTTAGTTGATGCAATAGGTCGTGAACTGACCAGGAGCCCCTGAAACCGTCCAGGCAACTAGTGCCAGTTGTCATTCCATGACAAGGGAGTGGGCTTCCCCTCGAGGTCCCGTCAGAAGTAGAGGGAAGGTAGGGAGTAGTAGAGGGTCTTCGCGAGACATCTCCAGGCGATCCGGGAAATCACGGTTGGCCCTGCACGAGGGGTGTCATGAGCAGGAGCGATATCTTGTGGGTGTGTGTATCGAAGCACCCTTGCTATTGTGGAGAACGGCTGGGTCACGTTTGCAGGGGTTCATCCATCGCCCCGTATCCGAAGGAAGAGTCAAAGGTTGTTTTGCCAATCCAAGTTTGTATGTGAAGTAATCACCATCGAAATTCCATCCTCACTTCCGCTGACAGTGGGATCCAGTGGTCGTATGAGTGACCGGTGCGTACGTATCTCACCATCAGTCGTAGTGGGCCAGGGAATAACGCTTGTATGGAGGAGGAGAGGAGGAGAGGAATCCCACAATCCGACAGCTATCCTTATAGAGGCGCTCTTTGCCGTAGACGGACGCGGAACGTAGTTCTCCAAGCCGATGTCGAAACCGAGGAACTGGCCCGATTCAGATGGAGAAGCGATCTTTGTCTGTGTACAACAAAAACCCATGGAGTCCCGAAAGTGAACGACAAATTTGTCTGCAAACGTAGCCTGGATTCGTAAAGAATCAGCAAGTCTTCCAGGTATACGAGGCATCGCACGCCCAAATTTACGGATGTGTGCCCTCACTGGTTACAGTAGGTTCGCGAGCACCACGGAGTCGTAAACTGCCGTGTTTGTCCTCACCATTGAAATCGGAGGAAAACTTCGTCAGTCCAGGGCAACGGGTAGTGACAAGTGTGCGTCCTTGAGGTCCAGATGTGTAAACCAGTCGTTATCGCCTAGGAGGTCATGTAGAAGACGAATTTCCTCCATCTTGCAGCATTTGTATACCATGTAGGAGTTCCATTGATGTAGTCTCCTGGCTTCTTTTTGACCAGGAAAAATTTGCTGGGGAAGCCTTCCCCTCCGGTGCATGTTGAATTGCACCCCTCCTGAAGAGGGTGCAGATTTTCTTGTCCACGAGGCGTTCCTGTTCCGCCAGCGTGCGTAATGGAGGTGAAGGGGCGACCTGCACGGCTGTGATAAAACTCTATGACATAGCCTTGTACTGTCTGGAGAACCCAGGTGACTTTGGTAGTCGTTTCCCAATTCTGTAAAACGGAGACAGGTTGCCGGTCATAATATTGGAAACAGTTAGTTATGTAGGTTGACACACTAGTAGATGAAGCAGATGGGTTCCTTTGTGTAGTAGATGGGAGAAATATGAGGACTGTGTATACGATCTGGAACCTGTCGCCCAGAAGCGGCTGGTGGCTCGGTTCAGCTACCGACCAGTCCTCCCAGAAACACCTTTCCCCGTAGGGTTGTGGAAGACTTGTTTTAGCGAGGTCTGGGTTTAATTTAGTGTGGTGAATAAATTCACGTGTTTCTTGAGTACTGCAATGAACACTACGTCGAATAGTAGGCCTTGTGCTTTTGGGCCGAATTCTTGTCGTTCCTAAGTCCAATAGTGTGTTGTCGATGCGGCCCAGTACAGATTTGCGTCTGTCGGCGCATAGTGCGTCATTTATGTTGCCCAGGAGGCATATCGAGCATTGAGACCATTCTTTGGAGGTGGTAGGGTTGAGTTGTGTACCCTGGGGTAACTCGGTCTTGAGGCGTGCGCATCCTTCCATCCCCTGAGGGTTGCGCAGTCAATAGTGTTCGTCCAGGAACGTTCCGTCTTCGGCTACTCTGGTTTAGTGCCGCTACAGTTATCTCTGCCTCAGCCGCCATCACAGAGTAAGGTTTCCCTAACGTACTTCGAGGAAGTGTGGGGAAGGTCTTGCCGTTCCATTTCCTCAGACGGTGAGCTGTCTTCGTGTCGCTCATCTACCATGTCCAAAGTACGTGGTGGGTAATAGTCTTCTTTGTCGGAAGATTGTGGCGGACGGGGTTTGGATTCCCGGTGCTCCGCCTATTTGGTCTGTTCGATGGGCGTCTTGCCCTTGACCTTAGTGGCAGGGGGGCTGGAGCCCTTCCCTTGCCGTTTTGACTTGAAGGCTTGTGGGCCTGAGGTCTCCATCAAGCGGTGTGGGGTAGAGTTCATACCAGAACCTTCTCCACTGAGGCCGTTACTGTGGCGTTTATCATTGCCTAGAAATCTTGGGAACGTTAAGAGTGTCCACCATGACTCGTTCCCGTCCTGTTGGGAGATAGTGTGAGGGTCAGCACGTAGGGGTGTTAGACTCCTGGTAGAACTGGGGATCACCCAGGTAAAACAGTTTGAATTGCCTGCTTTAGTATGTCTGAGAGTATGAATACTCGTGTCAAGTGTAGAGGGGTCACCTCTATTAGTTTAATCTGGCTACTGAGAGCCGTGGTGCAGGCGCGACTGACTGGTAGTGGTGTCGGTCTGGCTAGCCGGGTTCACCACAAATGTACGCCAGAGCTGTATGCACGGTTTTTAACTAAACAGGCTTATTATATAGGCGCATGGGGCCTGTCTCCATAAGGTCTGCAGCCGCAGGACCCATGTCTATTAGGCTGGGTTCATCCCAGGTGGTGTGCCATGGTAACCCAGAGGACACCCATATTATAATTATTGGCACCTTACAAGCATTGCATGCATATCTGGGGGTCATCCCAGGTGGTGTGCCATGAAAAATTACCCAGAGGACACCCACGTTCAATATGTACACTAGGCACAGTAAATATACATAAATGTGTCCCTGTGAAGGGCACACCGCAATACACTCAGTTTTCTTAGTGATCCTGCCGTCAAATCGCATCCGGCATGGTACTGGTGCTTTAATGTAAAACTGACAGGCAGTGTTTAACCCCTTAAGGACACATGACATGTGTGACATGTTATGATTCCCTTTTATTCCAAAAGTTTGGTCCTTAAGGGGTTAAACATCCATATATGTCTGTAGTAATCAGTGGTAAAGTTGAGGCGTAGGCCTCCGTGCATATGATCGGGGTTCACCCCGGGTGGTGTGCCATGGTAACCCAGAGGACACCCACATCAAAGGTAATGGTCTGTCAGTGACCTTGCATGCATATCTGGGGGGTCACCCCAGGTGGTGTGCCATGAAAAAATACCCAGAGGACACCCACATAAATTTGCACCGTCAGGTACAGTAATATAATATGACCCTCTGTAGGGTACAATAATATAATATAATATGCCCTTTGTAGGGTACAGTAACACAATATGCCCTTCGTAGGGTACAGTGATATAGTTGATCTTGTTATAGGTACAGTATATGTTTTGTATAACGACTGTGATATTGTATGGCTTCACAATAATACATAGATTGTGTGCCTGCTCAACATATAATCATCCAGTGTAAGGCACCATGAGAGATATATCCATGGGAATAAAAAATAATAATTGTATCAATAAATGAATGTGCCCAGAGAGGGGGACCCCTGAAGGGGTTAATCCAGATGCAGGGCGCGGTGATCGGGTGATTCCTGTAGGGTATAGTAATATAGTATGACCCTGTGCAGGGTATAGTAATATGGTATGACCCTGTATAGGGTATAGACCCTGAGTAAGGTACAAAGACATAATCTCCTTTAATGCCTGCATGTAAGTATTTGTTTGGCAGACACTGTTGGCAGGCACTGTGGCAAAATACATCGAAAGAATACATGGAGAAAAAACTGAAATCCAGCTTGCACTCTCCCATTGTTCACTTGGGAGAGCATACACTTGTGGAGCCCGGCGGTCGGGTGAGTTCCCGATCCGCCGAGCAAGCAGGGAAGGCGGCCGTCGGGTATCTCGCGAGCCGCGAGATCCAAGATGGCCGCCGCCCACATGTGAAGGTGCGCCGCGGATCGCGGTCGCGCGGTGCAAAACAAAGGGGATAAATGCAACACAAACGCTGACTCCAGCCTCCCTCCACCCATCCCCATACAGTCCCCTGTGTAAGTGAAAGGGCCGGTCCGCGAGGCGAGCGCGACACGGGTAGTCGTTGCGCCCGCGGATACCAGGCAGTAAGGTGGAAATAAAAAGGGGGAAAAAACAGAGGGATACAGTGAAGGGACAGGAATAAGGGGGGCCAAGGTAGCAGGTGTTAGCAATAAATAGAGTAATGTATAGTGGTATGACAATCAAAAAACAGTGTAAATTAAGAATCTACCAGAGAGGTAAAATACTCTGACCTGATGTATGGCTGAAGCAGCAAAGAAAGAGGAAGTGATGTCATAGACAGGGCCTTTTATGGGCATCATAACTTTTTTCTGATTGGTTGTTATGTTTCTATGCTGCTGGAGTTTTCAGTAAAGAAAGATATGCAAATATGAAGCCTCCTGTCATGTGGTAAAATTATTCCACACTAAGGTTCAAAATATGCCTTTTGAAATACCCTGGGATGTCTTCTTTAAGAAATGGTATGGCTTTATGGGGTATTTGGATTATATAGCCTGGTAAAATACTCTATAATGGGACATGAGCACAGCGTAAAAATGTAAAGTTTGAAAAAAACTGGAATGTCTGTGTCCCAAATGTGCCCCTCCGATGTCCACACATACCTGGCAAAGGTACATATGGGGGTATTGCTGTACTCAGCCGACATAGCTGAGCAACATATGAAGTATTATACACTGGTAGCACACATAAGATTGCAAAATATACCGTACAAACTCCCTTTGTGTGTCAAAAAGGCAGAAAAAACACTTATTACCACTATTCTTGGTACAAGCTAGCAGAAAAATGATCCCACGCTAAGGTTCAAAATATACCTTTTGAAATACCCTGGGGTGTCTACTTTAAGAAATGGTAGGCCTTTGTGGGGTAGTTTGAATTTAAACCCTGTGTCAGGGATCCGCGGGCGGCTAGGAGGGGAGGCTGCACGCCGCTTGCAGCACTCACCCTCACTCCATCGCCGCCCGCGGTCTCCCCTCTACTTACCTCTCGGCGAGCGGCGTCTCCTCTCTGCCGCTCGCCGCCCGCGTCCTCCACGCCCCCCAGCGGCAGCATGTATAACGCTGCACGCTGGGAGGTCAATGACTTATGTAAACACCGGGTCACGTGAGTGACCCGGCGTTAAAGAAACAGTACCACAATCACAGTGGGGGGTATAGATATCCCCCACGTGTGATTGTTAATTCTGATTGGAAGTTATCCAATCAGAATTAAACCAAGGGTATTTATACTTACCTTTCCTGTCCCTCAGTGCCCTGTTGTGGTCTTGTGATACCTGTAGCGTAGTGTTCTCGTCTTGCTCTCTGGTTACCGATTACTTGGCTCGTTATTCCGATTATCCTGTCTTCTCCACTCCTTTGACCTCGGCTTGTTTCTCGTTCTCCTGTTTTCTGTCTCCCTTTACCTGGCTTGTCTCCTGACTATTCTTAGCGTGCTTAGCCCGGCCACTCTAAGGTCCGGTACGGCACCTTTTCTGTGTGTGTGTGTGTCAGCGTGTTAGGTTCCCCGAATCGTGACATTACAACAGGGCCACCATGGAACCTGCTGACATTCCACAGCTGTTAGTTAATCAGGAGGCTAGAATGGACGGTTTAGACCACCGTATGGATCAGTTTGCCCAGGCTTTACAAACCATACTGGCTCGTACTGCCCACTTGCAACCTGCCGTCCAAGAAGCTGTTGCTGCTGTGCCAGAACCCATTCCTGATCCAGTACCCGCTCCTGCTCACGTGGTTCACATGACGCCACCTCAGCGCTATAGTGGTGATCCAGCATTGTGCCGTGGTTTCCTCAACCAAATTGATATTCATTTGGTGATGAATCCTCGTTCCTACCCCACTGACAGAACCAAAATTGCTTTTTTGATTAACCATTTGTCCGGGAAAGCACTAGCATGGGCTAATCCCATGTGGGAGAATACGTCCCCAATGTCCTTTTCAGACTTCTTAACAGCTTTTAAACGTACGTTTGACCAACCCGGCCGGGTTGCTTCTGCTGGCAAAGCTCTGCTTAGGGTTCGACAGGGTAATAGATCAGTAGCGGATTATACCATTGAATTCCAGAACTTTGGCAGCTGAAGTGGTCTGGAATAACGACGCTCTCGTAACAGCTTTTCAGGAGGGTTTGGCTGCTTACATATTAGATGAAATAGCATCCAGGGAAATGCCTGTTCTTCTGGATGATCTTATAGATTATGTCATTCTAATTGACAACCGTATTAGAGAGAGGCGTAGTCAAAGAAGGATGAATACACAGGGGTTACCTGCTTTACCCAGTACTGTATTGCTAGCATTACCTCCTCCTAATCAACCACCTCCCGAACCCATGCAATTAGGTGCTGTAGGTTTATCTGAAGCTGAAAGAACGTACCGCAGAAGGGAGGGTTTGTGCCTTTATTGTGGTAAGAGGGGGCATCTCCGAAGAAACTGTCCTAGTTTGCAGGGAAACTCCAGCACCTAAGGCCTAGAGAGGGGTCGGCCTCGGGTGTTATGGTTTTTTCCCCTCATATGTCCATCTCCAGACCATTTATAACGGTTTCTCTTTTGGTCAATAAAACCACAATAACAACTAAAGCCTTGATCGATTCAGGCGCTGCAGACAGCTTTATGGATG